CAAAGCCATGGCCTTTGCCTGCTATGTCTTCAAGGCCAAGCCCCATAGCATCCTGGTAGTAGAGGTGGTTGAACTGGTTGCCCTCTTCCTCACCAGGATGCATTTCCATGCCCTGCTGCCATTTGCTGCCCCTGGCCACTGTGACATCTCCAGACCAATCCTGGGTATCTTTGTATTGCCATACCCCAGGTGTGTGAGGGTCTTCTCTGTATGTCACTCTGCCACTTCCAATATGGGCTTGGAATTCATCCCAGTCGATTTTTTCCAGCATTTGTTTTTCACTTTCCCACTTGTTGCCATTTTTCAAAGACTCAGTGGCTGACACTTCTTTGCTTACATGTAGATACTTCTTCCCAGCAATTTGCATCAACCATGCTGCTGCTTTCAAACCCTTTTCCTTTTTGGAAAGGCCTTCCATTTCCCCCTTTTCCAAAGGGTTGTTGTTGAGGTGGGTTTGGTGCCTGCCCCAAACCTGGCTGTGCTCATCCTTTGTCAGGGAGTCTTTCAGGATCACTGCCTGCTCTTCAATTGTTTCACCTTGCTCAGCAGCAGCTTTGATCTTGTCATTGAGGCTCATTTGTCCCAACTTTTCCAAATTGGCTTTATTCAAATCATTTTTGGACTTGGCCTTGGTGGCCTTGGTGGCCTGAGCCTTTCCCAAAGCTTTTGCCTTTGCCTTAGCCTTTCCCAAAGCTTTCTTAGGCTTTCCCAAACCTGTCTTCTTAGTGCTTTTCATCACTTTCATTGCCTTCATAGGCCCCATTGCAGACTAAAATCTACCAAACCGAGTTGAAATGAACAAAAAATGAGCCAAAAAGGTTCTGTAAAAACAAATTGTGAAACTTATCAAATCTTATCAAATACAGTGTTTTGAAAAGATTTGATAAGATTTGATAAGATTTGATCCAGGCGAGATTGGATTTGGAAAAGTCTGATCATGCTTTTTTTTGTTTGATTTTGGCAGGAATGTATTGAACACTGGCCTTTCCCAAAGCCATATGCATGATTAGTTTCAATCTCATGTGGGCATGGACCTAGATTTTTTTTACACAACACTCAGTGTTGAAACTTGGACTGAAGGGTTCACACTGTTTCTTTTAGACCCCAAAACTATTCTAAAAAAATAAAGTATACATTCACAGCATATACACTTGAAAACTATTTGATATTTGAAATCAAAAATAAATATAAATATATATATATATATATATACATATATTATCTAATTTCTATAGATATAAGTTCATACTTTTCAGAAAATAAAAGTAGTTATATATATATATATATATATTTGCCTGTTACTTCAAAAGTAATTATCTTTTCTATTTAAAATTAAGTTTTATATTTTAAGATTCATTATTCTTTTCACATTCATTAATCTGTCAGTAGTTTATCATGGCCTGCCCATTTTGGGCTAGCCAAGCCTGTACACAAAATCTGAGTTAATACCCTTTTCCAAAGCCATTCCCATGCACTTGTTGGTGGCCTTTCCCAAAGCCTTTTTCCATGGGGTGAGCCTTTTCCAAAGCTCTTCAGCAGGGTGGACCCAGTTGCCTTTTCCAAAGCTCTTGTTTCATGGCAAGGGAGCCTTTTCCAAAGCTCTTCAGCACCAAGTGGACCCAGTGGCCTTTTCCAAAGCCAAGCTAGATTTCCTCCAGCAGGTCCAGGTATGCCTCCACAGCTTCAGCCAAATCCCTGAAGACCATTTTGGCTGGTGTATTGCTGTGCTGGGTCCACTTGGTGCAAATTGCATGTGCCATGATCCCATTGGCATGGCACTCCTGGATGATCTCATTGCAATCATCAAAGATTGCATGAGCACCCAGCCAGCTGCACCAGTCAGCTTTTCCTCCTGGGCCCACCCTTGTCCAGCAGGTGTGGACACCTGCTAGCTTTTTATAGCAGGGCAGGGTGGTGACATCCTTCTCCACTGCCAGCTGTCTCACCCTGGTGTTCACATAGGAGAGGATGTGAACATTGGCATGTTCCAGGAGGGAATTCAATGCCCTGACATTTTTTCTGGCACAAAGTCATTGATTTCGATTGTATGGTGCCAGTCAACCACCGCTGTTGGTTTCTGTTTAGGGGCTTCTTTGAGAACAGTGCCAGGCTTGTTGTCCTTTTCCAAAGACTCGTCATGGTTTCTCTTTTGCCCTGTCTTCCCCTTAACCTCCACCCAGCCCTCATCTGATGAATTTTCCTCCTTGGCCTCCTTGATGATTTCAGCCTTGCCAGATTTGGCAACTCTGGTCCTCCTCACATCTTCCTTTGTGACACCCTTTTCCAAAGATGTCTTGTCGACACCCTTTTCCAAAGATGTCTTGTCCTTTTCCAAAGATGTCTTGTCAGCACCCTTTTCCAAAGATGTCTTGTCGACACCCTTTTCCAAAGATGTCTTGCCAGCATCCTTTTCCAAAGATGTCTTGCCAGCATCCTTTCCCAAAGATGAGCTGGAAGAAGCACTGCTTGACTTGGTGCTCTTTTTGCTGAGCTTTCTCTTGCCAGTGGGCTGGGGGCTGGGGCTGTAGGGGTAGTAGGAGTACTCCTCCTCAGTTTTTTGGTCCTTTTCCAAAGACTTTGCCTTGAGCTCCTCCAGCCTTTCTCTGGCTTTCTTGGCTGCCTTTTCCAAAGCTTTCACATGATCTTCCACGGCCTCTTCAGTATCTGGCTCCTTTACCTCCAGTTCTTCCCATTGGGGGTGTTTTCTCTGGGCCCTTCGATTTGCATGTGTTGTTCTTCCAGACCCTGAAGGCTTCCATTTGCAATTCCAGCCTTCATAGCCCCACTTGTTGGGTTTGTATGCCATGGCTGTGGCTTTCCCAAACCAGGCTTTTCCAAACCTGGCTTTTCCAAACCAAAAACCCTCCTACCTCCTACCTGGACCTACAAGGGTGATGTGTGTGTGAAAGTGGAGTCTGTGAAAATTGTAGTTTGTGTGAAAACTGGAGTCTGTGAAAAGTTGTGTGTGTGAAAAATTGCACTTGTGGCTGGACTGTGTTCCTGACATGTGTAGGCGACATGGTGGTGTGTAACCTAGCTCTAGCTGAGAAACAGCTGCAGGTAGAAGACTCTGGGGAGGTGTTGCAAAACAGAAAAGGTTGGTGAAAACCCACATGGAAACATAGGTGTATGTGTGTATGTGTTTGCATATATATATATATATGTATACTCTTAAATATACCTGTTTATATTGGTAAAGTTTCAAAACAAATTTTCGTGGAAAGTAGGGTACATTTTCAACTATATATTATCCACCCATCCATCTACCTACCTGCAAATCAGTGGTTCCAAAACAAGTTGCGGATGCCAGCATTTTTCTCTTTCAAAAATGCTTTGTTTGGCAGATCCCATGTTAGGATTGCCAGGCTACAGCTAGCAAACAAAACTTGGCCTTTTCCAAAGCCCAGCAGCAACACTTTCCCAAATGCAAGCTGCCTAGCAGCCCCATTCTTTGCACGATTTTTCTCTGAGGTCTAAAGCCTCTGCTTTTGTGAGGCAATCCTTTTCCAAAGATGTCCAGATTTGATCAATAATTTGGTTGTAGCCATCTGGGCACCTGTTGGCAGTCACTTCTACTTCTACTATCAATCTCAATTTGCCATCTGTGTCTTTGGTACCAAGTAGGTAAGCTCTTTGAGGGTTCTTGCCATTTGTTTTCCTAATCTTGGCCCATTTTTTCTCTTTTCCTTTTCCAAAGAAGCTGTTTCCTTCTGCATGTTTTTTCTTACCTGCTTTCTTTGGCTTCTTCTTTCCAACATTTTTTCTTACTGCCTTTTCCAAAGCAGCAGGTTTCTTTTTTGCTGCTTTCCCAAACCCGAAAGCCTGATGCAACTCACCCTTTTCCAAAGGTGCTGTTTTACTTCCAGGCCTTCTTCTGTCAAAGGCTTTGGGTGCAGCAGATGATTCATGTGTTTTGGCTTCCTTCTGTGGGCTACCAAACATTGCTGGAAACCCCTTGCTGTCCATGGTGACATCACTGTCAGTCGTTTTGAGCTTTCTCTTTTCCAAAATAGGCTCAAAAGGCACCAGTGCAGTGCATTCCTCTGCAGCTTCCTTCTTCATATTGTTTGCCTTTTCCAAAGCATCCCCAACATCCAAGAGCATGAGCCCATTCTGGAGCTTTTCATAATCCTCCTTGGTGAGCTTGGCTGCAGCTGCAGTCAAACTTTCCCTGCCAAGTTTTCTAACATGGAACAGGATGGTGCTAATTCTTTCCATTTTCAAATTAGCCCACGCTTGGCCTGAGTGCCTTGTATTGTTGAGCTGTGGGGCTTCAGCTAACAAACTTATCAAGGCAGTCCTGAGAGGCTGGGTGTGGATTTCACCGGAGCTCTCCAGCTTCAGCAGCCCTTTCCACAGTGGCAATGTTTTCACCAAGCCTTTGGGATCTGGTGAATTGTTTTTGCTGACATGTTCATAGTTCCCCAGGTCTTCCAATGTCTCTTGACACTCAGACAAAACTTTGTACACCAGGCCACTGTCAACATAAGGCTTCGAAAAATGCCTGGCCCCTCCTCTTCTTTGGCCTTTTCCAAAGCCATCTGCTTCCCTGCCTGCTGTGGCTGCCATGCCCAGAACCTTGCCTTTTCCAAAGCCAGACTGCAATTAAATGTAAGCTGAAGCAAATATGCTGCAGGATGGTAAGTAGCAGTGCCAGGCAACAGGCTTTCAAAACAAGCAACATGACAGTCAAAAAAAACAAAAGAAAAATCAAAAGAAAAATCAAACCACAAATCAAAAGAAAAATCAAAAGAAAAACAAGAAAAAACAGGAATTTTCCATTTTGATTTTCCCAGTTTTTTGGAAAATCAAAAAAAACTTGGGTTCATTTTGATTCTAATCAAAAAGCGATGCTCAGGGTGAACTGGGAACCCATCGCTGTGTCTACGCAAATGCACTAGTAGCTCCCCCAGTCCTCCTTGGTCCAAACCGACGGATCCGCCCCAGAGAACAAGTGCACCACCACACCTTTTCCTTGACGATGTCCCCGACACTGCCTTCTATTCCAAGGGCATGTCCACACCATTGGATCCTCCCCCTGACCCACCATATGTCGAAGCACCTCTTCTGGGACTTCCGAAAAAATGCTCCTTCCACCAGATGCGCTCCTTCTCCTTAAGGTACATGCCCAGCCTCTCCTCCGTCTCAAAGCGATGCAACATTTCCAGCGCCTCCGCTCTCGGCATAACTGGACACCCTTGTCTCATGGAGCAGTCCACCTGGCCATACGTTGGATGGGAAATGCGACAGCCTTCCGTTTTCCACACCACCCTGTAGCCCTTTGACACCAGTAAGTGAAGAGGAAGAATTGGTTCCACCTCATGCAAAGACAACAAAGTTTGATGATCCTTGGAGCGATACAAAGTTGTGGAACCACTGGCAAGCTCCGCCTCGACTGCCACAAGGCCCTCAAGCTCGTCCACCCGAGCTCGCCGAAGTGCGTGAGTAGCACCACCATCCAGTAATGCCCATTGGCCCACACCAGAGTTCTCGTCCAAGATCACCTGCTTCAGCTTGATCGATTTGACACTCCTCAAAGACTTGAGAATTAAGGCTTGCAGCCTCCTTCATCAGATCTGCCGCCGACTCCTTGGGAGCTTCTTGAACTTGAGCAGGAGCCACAGACACCGGAACCTTCACAGGCTCTTTTTCCGCTGCGCCCCCATCCGTTGATGCCCCTTTGATCTCATCCTGTGCAACCACCTTAGCGACCTTCTCCCCCTGAGCTGCACCAGGACTACCCTTCTCCGGAGTCATCTTTTCCTTGATCTTGCTGACCCTTCTTGGCGTTTTGGTATCGCCGCCACTGCTGCCACCCAAAGCCGCTTTGTGAGGACAATCCTTTTTGAGGTGATTTGAACCCCCACATGACCAACACCGGCCACGCATTCCTTGCATGTCATGCTGAAAAATTGCAAGCCGCACCCCGCTTGCAACCCTCATCAGTTTTCCAGTATCTACATGGACCCTTTGTGCTGGTTGATGCCGGCAAAGTTGAAGAACCCTCTTGACCGGCCACTTGAAGCGCCTTCAAAACTGGAGCAGCCGTCGGTGCCGTAGAGAACATCTTCGAGTTCGTCACCAGCGCCAACTCCTCAGCTTCTGCCTGCAGCACCTCGGCATAGTCCCTCACCGCTTCCACAGTCGGCCGGGTGTCCACCATGAGCTCCTTCCTCACCGCTGAGATGCGATAGCCCACCTGAAGACCACCAACCTTGGCCAAAGCGTCCACAGCCTCCTCCATTGACGAAGCCCTCCAAGAAGATCCACCACTGAAGATCCAATCTTCGGCTCAGTCACCTGCTTGAGAAGTGCTGCCTTTTCCACTCCACCACCAGGCTGATACACCGTGAACATCCGAAAAAGAATTCCAGTTGATGTCAAAGTTCTGGAAGCCACCAAGTCTCGCTTGATCATCTCCGGACAAGCCGCCAGAAGCATGGACACACCACGCTGTTCAACCCGCTGGAAATCCACAGGAAGAAGAACATCCCCAGGACGTAGACGTAGTCGATCCACTGGGCCAGCGACTAACCACCTCTCGTAGAATGCCTCAAGACAAAGAGCCACCAATCCCTTGAAGTCGCTCCGATGTCAGACATTTGTGGACCGGCAAGTGCCAGCCAATCGGAGCCGGCATGGCCACATTGAGCTCCAACACCATGAAGACCACCTCGTTGATCCAAACCAGGCGGAGAAGGAACACCTGCCACCGGCGTCCCATTGACCACAGCACCACCGCGATCTATACAGGAGTTGACATCGCTGCCAAGCCATGACCAATCCCCCGAAGTGGAGTTGCAGTGGCTCCAGAAGCTGCTCTATCACCTTGTGCTGCCGAAGGAGCTCCCTGGTCACCACCAGACGAAGCCGAATGGTAAGACATGGGGTCTATCCCCACCTCACCACGAAGCTTCCTGATCTCCAGCTTAAAGTCACGCAGGATCCTTTGCCGGATCCTCTCAAGTTCACCTTCGTCCAGGTCCTGGCCAGTCCGGCCGCTTCCCGCTGCATCCATCGCCGGCTGCAAGTTAAAGACGTCCTTGACCTGACATGGGAGCGTTTCTCCTCACATCAGAACTCCAGAAAGGGTTCACTCTCTCCGTGCCCCTCCTATAGTCACTGACCTATCATTCACCTGAGCACGACCTCCTTGATCGCCGTGTTGAACTTGACCTGAATGTCCAACTTGACCCTGATCAGCTTGTAGAGCTCGGCCATCACCAGGAGCGCCCCGAACCAAAGGAGCTAGAAGACCTTGAGGATCTCGAGCTGGCTGTCCGAAGTCCAGGGGCAAGTGAGTTGGCCTCGGCACGTCCACCAAAGCTGTCCCCTCTGCTCCACCTCGTTGACCTCCATGCGCAGCAGCCGCATCACCAGAGATTGCTGAGCTCTTGCTCCCCTTAGGCACCATCTTCAAGCCATGCTGCTCCCCCCCAGGCGGAGGCGTTGACCTTGCTCTCCTCTCCATAGCTATCAGTGATCAAGCCTTTCATCTGCGGCCTCACCACGGCCACCATCGCCTCGGCTGCGTCGGCGCATGTCCATGCCAGCAGCTCAGCGACGAAGTGCGCCCCGGCCTCTTTGGGCTCATAACCTGTGAAGGCACAGGTACCGCGCCAGTGAGCTGCACCGCTCCTATTTTTCTTGAGCCATGAAAGTAGCGCCAAGGGATATGTGTGTGTCATCCTTGGCAGGGAAGGCCATGCTGCACAAGACTGGTTTTTTATGCAGGGGCCATGCTAATCTTCTCAACTCGATTTCCAGTGTAGGACGACTAGAACATCCACACATTTATTTTCACTTATTTTCACTTTTTTTTAAAAACATATGTTTTAAAGGATGATTCCTGCAAAGAACATGTCCTGAACAGGACACTTTCTGTTATGGATATGTCGGTTGCATGTTACTTCCTTATATTTTAAAAATAAATTTCCACAAAAAGGAATTTTTGAATTGCTATAGATTCTATGTATTCTATAGCGTTTATGACTTCTATTTGCCTTGAAAAAAATAAATGTTTCTGAATTTTATGAATTTTCTGCATTTTCTGTTTTTTCTGAATTTCCTGAATTTTCTGAATTTTCTGAATTTTCTGAATTTTCTGAATTTTCTGTATTTTCTGTATTTTCTGTATTTTATGAATTTTGTGAATTTTATGACTTTTCTGAATATTCTGTTTTCTGAATTTTCTGGATTTTCTGAATTTTCTGGATTTTCTGAATTTTCTGAATTTAATTTTCTGAATTTTCTGAATTGTCTGAATTTTTCCCCACCTGCCAGGTGAGGGTTGTTAGATTTTATGTCAGTTGCCTGGTCCTCCTCGTCCTCCTCGTCCTCCTCCTTCTCCTCCTCCTCCTCTCGTTGTCCTCCTCCTCGTCGTCCTCCTCGTCCTCCTCGTCCTCCTCCTGCTCCACTGCGATCCATGTCAGTGTGCCCTGCCGGACCTCAACCACGACCATCCACGTCAGTGTGCCCTGCCGGACCTCAACCACGACCATCCACGCCCAGTGTTCCCTGCCGGACCTCAACCACGACCATCCACGCCCAATGTTCCCTGCCGGACCTCAACCACCACCATCCTCGCCCAGTGTTCCCTGCCGGACCTCAACCACGACCATCCACGCCCAGTGTTCCCTGCCGGACCTCAACCGCGAGTATCCACGCCAAGTGTTCCCTGCCGGACCTCATGTAGGAAGATATGGGACAAAGAATGTGCAGAAGAAGGTTAGAAAGAATGTCAGAAGATATGCCAGAAGATATGCCAGATAGAATGCCAAATAGAATGCCAGATAGAATGCCAGAAGATATGTCAGAATATATGCCAGAAGATATGCCAGATAGAATGCCAGATAATATGCCAGAAGATATGCCAGATAGAATGCCAGATAGAATGCCAGGAGATTTGCCAGATAGAATGCCAGAAAATATGCCAGAAGATATGCCAGATAGATATGTCAGAAGATATGCCAGAAGATATGCCAGAAGATATGCCAGAAGATATGTCAGAATATGTGCCAGAAGATATGTCAGATAGAATGCCAGAAGATATGTCAGAATATATGCCAGAAGATATGCCAGATAGAATGCCAGATTGAATGCCAGAAGATATGTCAGATAGAATGCCAGAAGATATGCCAGATTGAATGCCAGAAGATTTGCCAGATAGAATGCCAGAAGATATGCCAGATCATATGCCAGAAGATATGCCAGATAGAATGCCAAATAGAATGTCAGAAGATATGTCAGATAGAATGCCAGAAGATTTGCCAGTAAGAAAATGTATAAATGTCATGGTGGGGATCACACGAAGTAAAGTAATTTGAATTTTCTGAGTTTTCTGAATTTTCTATTTTTCCCCACCTGCTAGGTGAGGGTTGTTAGATTTTAACAGAGCTGTTCTCCTCCTCCTCCTCGGCTAGCTGTCCTCCTCCTCCTCCTCCTCGTCCTCCTCCTCCTCCTCCCCCTCTAGTTTCTCCTCGACCATGTCTGCATCAGCTTCCACCTCCACTTCCGCCTTGCCAACTCTTCGCCAAGCTCTTTGCCAACTTCCCAGCTCAGTGTGCACTGGGACCTCAACCTGGGACCTGCCCAGCTCAGTGTGCACCGCTGGACCTCAAGCTCAGTGTGCACCGCTGGACCTCAACCAGGGACCGTCGGACCTCAACCTGGGACCTGCCCAGCCCAGTGTGCACCGCTGGACCTCAACCTGGGATTTGCCCAGCGCAGTGTGCACCGCTGGACCTCAACCTGGGACCTGCCCAGCTCAGTGTGCACTGCTGGACCTCAACGGGCAAATAGAATGCCAGAAGATATGCCAGATAGAATGTCAGATGGAATGCCAGAAGATGTGCCAGATAAAATTCCATGAGATATGCCAAATAGAATGCCAGAAGATATGCCAGATAGAATGCCAGAAGATATACCAGATAGAATGCCAGATAGAATGCCAGGTAGAATGCCAGAAGATATGCCAGAAGATATGTCAGAACATCTGCCAGAAGATATGCCAGATAGAATGCCAGAAGACATGCCAGAAGATATACCAGAATATATGCCAGATAGAATGCCGGATCGAATGCCAGAAGATGGGTCAGATAGAATGCCAGAAGATTTGCCAGTAACAAATCGATAAATGATGTCATGGTGGGGATCACTCGAAGTAAAGTATGTTTTTTTTTTGCATTTTCAGATTTTTTGAATTTTGAGAATTCTGAACGCTTATATATAAGCGCTCAGAATTCTTAAATTCAAAAAGTTCAGATTTCGTTCTAGGACAACTACAGGGCATGAACGTTCCAAAGCCGACATTGCTTCCAGCAGCTATGCCCTTTTCATCAGCCAAAACTGCTACCATGAAATTGCAATTCAATTTCGTTACTCCTTCGAAATGAAAACAAAACAAAAAAAATGATTTCCAGCTATTTTCAGATATTTTCAGATATTGTCAGATATTTTCAAATATTTTCAGATATTTTTCACTAATATTCGAATAATTTCGAATATATTTGATTATATCTTCATTACCAGTAGTACCGCACAAGGCGGTGGCGGAAGTTTCAGAATAGGAAACCTATAGGAGACGTTGGTTGTTGTGAATCACGGATGGCAGAGCGAATCCACTGATTGACCGAAAGGTGGTTGGGGTTGTGTTTGCTGGAGTGGTTGCAATGGTTGCAGTGGTCACCTCACCCACAACTGCTGGATGTAGTATGATGTACTGCAACTGTAGTTGTAGTTGTAGCGTAGTGGAGTTGTAGTTGTGGTGTAATGTAATTAGTGTAGTGTAGTTGCAGTCATATAGTTGTAGCTGTAGTTGTTTTGTAGTTGTAGTTGTCGTGTAGTTGTAGTTGTAGTTGTTGTAGTTGTAGTTGTAGTTGTTGTAGTTGTAGCTGTAGTTGTTGTGTAGTTGTAGTTGTTGTTGGGTAGTGTAGTAGTTGTAGTTGTTGTAGTTGTTGTTGTAGTAGTAGTAGTAGTAGTAGTTGTTGTTGTTGTTGTAGCTGTAGTTGTTATAGTTCTAGCTGTAGTTGTTGTGTAGTTGTAGTTGTAGTTGTAGTTGTAGTAGTAGTAGTAGTAGTAGTAGTAGTTGTTGTTGTTGTTGCTGTTGTTGTTGTAGTTGTAGTTGTTGTAGTTGTAGCTGTAGTTGTTGTAGTTCTAGTTCTAGTTGTAGTTGTAGTTGTAGTTGTTGTAGTTGTAGTTATAGTTGTTGTAGTTGTAGTTGTAGTTGTAGATATAGTTGTTGTGGTTGTGGTTGTGGTTGTGGTTGTTGTTGTTGTTGTTGCTGTTGCTGTTGTCTTCGAAGTTAGGAAAGTTAAGTAGATAAGTTAGTGAAGTTAGTTAGGTTAGTCAACTTAGTTAAGTTAATCAGTGTCTACTTTTTCGACATCTTAACGTCAAAAAAGGTTCAAAACCCTCAGTTTTTAACACTTTTGACTTCGAAACGTGCTTCGCGCCACAACGGCGTGCACTTTTTCGACATCTCAACTTCCAAAAGTGGTCCGAGAATGGTGTGTTTTGTACATTTTCACTTCGAAATGTGCTTCGCGCCACAACGGCGTGCACTTTTTCGACATCTCAACTTCCAAAAGTGGTCCGGACCTGGTGTGTTTTGTACATTTTGACTTGGAAATGTGCTTCGCGCCACAACGGCGTGCACTTTTTCGACATCTCAACTTCCAAAAGTGGTCCGAGACCGCCAGTTTTTAACACTTTTTACTTCCAAATGTGCTTCGCGCCACAACGGCGTGCAACTTTTCATCTCTCATCTGGCCAGCTGGCTCCGCACCCGCCGCTTTAGCGAGCCTACTTTTCGACCCTCCGGAGCCCCAAATCATTGGAAAACACAGTGTTTCGCGACTTTCCTACCTTTTCGCGCATCTGTATCTTCTTTCTTCTGACTCTTTCTCTTCTGATCTTCTCTCTTCTGATCTTTTCTCTTCTGACTCTTCCCACCTCTGCTTTTCAACTGTCCATATTGTCGGAAGTTTCACTTCTAAACTTCCTTCGATAATGTAATAA